ACTGATACTGTAGTTCGTTACAAAGATTAGCTGAGAACAAAGCGCTAAATCCAGACAACGCAAGTTCGCCAGTCAACCGTGCAAGCAAGTGCAAGTCAGAACCCCGCCCACCCGCCCGTCGATGTGGTGGGGAGAGGGGAGGAGGACGAGCCACGAAGTGAGCGCCAGGGCTAAGAGGGGCGGCGCCAGCAGGAGGCGGAGGCTAGGATTTGGGACCGGAGCCGCGAGGGACACGAGTGGGCCGAGAGGCGTCGGTATAACGCTCCAGGACTTGAGCGCTGCGTATCTGGGAGAACGCGTGGAGCTCCGCGCGGGATGCGCCAGCGGCCTGCGTGGCCTGGATAGTACCACGACGAAACCCATGAGGAGTTTGCCCGACGTAGACACCAGCCTCCTCCAGGTGTTTGCCCACTCGCATGGCTAACGCGCTGCTGGAAAATGGACGCTCCACGAAGCGTTGGTGACCCCGGTCAGTGGGACGGAAGAGGTAGTCGGAGATTGCAGACCCTGGGGGGGCGTCGGGGGCATGGCACAGCTGCCAATAGAGGGCGAGGGTGCGGATGAAGCAATGTCGCGGAGAAGGGTCGGGACGCAGTTCCAAGGGGGGGGCTCGACGCCCCTTGGATGTTTTGGTCCCGAGTTGTTCGATCCGTAAGGAAAGTGAGGGGTAGGCACCAAACGGGTCCGGCAGAGGTAGGGGAAACCCACGGAAGGGACCCCCACCACGCGGGTCACGGAAGTCACGTAGCCGCAGTTTGCCGGTGTCGTGGCCGCGGTAGATGGTGTGCCACATGAATTGGCAGCACAACAGGTCGCGTAGTAGCAGCAGCCGGGTCAGGGAGGTGGTGGAAGCCTGGAATCCGGACCAGAGGTGGTCCATGAGGGTGGTGAAGTCGCTAGGGCTGAGTGGTACGGCGGCTTGCTCCTCATAGCCACGGTCGGCGGCGAGACGACTATAGCCAGTCTTGTAGGAGGACAAGGCGCTGGAGCAGCAGGGGTTGCCTATGCCGGTTTCACGGTCGTAAGTGCTGCCACGGCCCAAGCGGTTAAACAGCCCGGAGAGTAGACCCAGATGATTGTTGACGGTGTTGGGGCTCGGGTCGTCCACACGGCGGTTGGGGAGCCAGTGCGCCTCCAGGTAGACGAGTAGGTCGTCATCAGTGCAGGTTAGCAGGGTACGGCCATGGGGCAGGGAGGCCAGCCAGGCAGAGAGGTCACGGCCAGCAGCCTCCTGGCGGGCAATGGTTTCGCGAGCCAACGAGCTGTCGCAGACGGTGGCGGCCTTCGCGAGGGCGACGGTATAAAGCTGACGGCTGGAAGGTGGGTCCAGTACGGCAGAGGGTATGGAAGTGGGGCGGACGCGCGCGGCCAAGATTTGGGGCAGAGTAGGCTCCGGCAGTGCCTGGAGGGCAGAAGAAGGTAGGAGAGGTAAGCGCGACGGAAAGAAGAGACAGGACCCAGGCGCAGGAGCAAGCCTACCGGGGGGGCAGCATCAGAGAGGCCGGGGGCGTGAGACAAGTCCAGAGCGGGCATCGGGCCCACAGAAAGGGCGGAGGGGTTGGGCCCCCGAGGGCCAGGGACGGACGGAAGTAAGGTAGTTGACGAGCCAGAGAGGGGCGCCCCAAGTAGGGCCGGGGGAGGCAAGGAAAGCCTACCCGGCACCGGACAGGCAAGGGGCGAGTCCTGCAGTAAGGTAGGCAACCGTAAGAGAGGGCCGGAGAAACGGATGCGCAGAGGGAGGGGGCGCGCACCGGGTAGGCAGAAGACCCAGCCGGATGATGAGGAGTCGCATAGACGAGGCGTAACAACGGCGAAGGAGGTCGCCGCTTCTGTGGAGAAGCAGAGGCTGGGTGGAGGCGAAGGTGAATGGCAAAGTAGCGACGGGCGAAGTTACCTGTGGCACGAGCCGAACTAGAGGCAACGCGGCGGAGTCTTGTGAACGAGGTAGAAAATATGAATGGTAGGTAAGAGAGTCGGCGTGAGGCTGGAGGCTTACGTTTTCTGTTGACGATGACTGCATTAGGTTATTTCGTACTCTCTACTCGATTGCCGTGCGAGCGGCCCACCCGCCCTCCCACTAACAGCCAAATGGCTGATCGGAGTTGTCTTTGAAGGGTTTGGGTACCGCGGGAGTGTGGTCGCAGACGCAATGGCCTTCCCCACAATAAGTTAGTAGTGAGTACGGATCACGCGATGACGTTTAAGCAAAGCGCCGTAATGCAACACCGTACCGCAAGGTATTTTACCGTGCACATCGGGTGCTGTAAATACGACTCCGACCACAAGACACATGTTACATTCCTTTTTGCTCCTTCTTGCTGACGCAGATGCACCTAATTTCCTGACTTAGGACATAAAAATCTTCTGGAAAATAACCAAAGGCAAGCACCGGTTTGTTGCAGTTTCACAAGATGTACTTCCGTTTCTTCTGTCACCGCTTCTCCTCCTAAGTTTTCTGTCATCTTCTCATCTTCTCATCTACAGAGCTACTACTCTCCACCATCTTACGCTAACAAAATGGATTCCCGACGACGGGAGGCCTCCAGCCGCCTGCTTCCAGGTCCACGGGCTCAGTTGGGGCAGGAAGGATGCGTCTTGGGAAGGACCCGGCATAACGACCGCCCCCCGACCGCACTAATCATCGGCCACTATATGTTCCAGTAAATTGTAACTCCAAAAGGCTAATTCGAAAAATTCCCGCCCTCAGCCAGAACAAAACACCAAATTGGAAGGCAGCCGAATTTTCGCCATTCTTTGAGCAACCATCGAATCACCAAACCGTTCAATTGTCGACAAAAGATACAGAAAAACATTCCCGCCGTCGACC